TATGCCTAAAGTCATTCTAAATTATGTTTTCTTGGTCTATTGTATTGATTAAAAAACTATCACTTTGAGGCTGGGAAGGTGGCTCAGTGGTAGAGTGCCTGCCTTGCCTTGTATGCATGAGGCCCTGGGTTCTATTCCTCAGCACTACATAAGCAGAAAAAGCCAGAAGTGGCACTGTGGCTCAAGTGGTAGAGTGCTAGGCTTGAACTGAACAGCTGAGGGACAGTGCCCAGGCCCAGATTCAGGCCCCATAACTGAGGGAAAAAAAAGCTACCATCTTACAATCAGAAGTTCTGCATGTTCAGAGCTCAATTGGGTGCTGAAATTGCATATGACCTAAACAGATTCAAAAGCTTGCAGACCCACACACGTTTATAATGGACATACAAAAGTATGTATTGACAATTTATAGTGAGCAGGTAGATTAATAAATCAAAGTGGAGATTAATTCCTATCCCATGGAGAATTAGAAAGAAATCTAGAGTTTGAATTCATGAGATGTCCAGAGTAGAAGATACATAAATTTGATAAAAGGTGACTTCTCTTTTGATGCAAGTATTGTAGTTATGTAAGTCTGATTGTTCTTTTATATAGAGACTTATCATTATCAAATCCATATTCAGAGCCTTCTCTTGTATCACGTCTATCTTTTTTTAAAAAATATTATCTGTAATCAGTCATAGAAAGGTATTGCCATTTAATAAAACAGTTTGTGAATACAATATATCTTTTTCTGAATTTAATGTTATCGTCAAGGTGATATACAGAGAGTTTACAGTTACATGCATAAGGAATTGAGCACATTTCTTGTCAAATATTCCCCCCTCATTTTTCCCACTTTCCTTCCCCAATCCCTCCCCAAGTTGTAAAGTTCATTTCCAACATATTGCTTGTGAGTATCGCTGTTGCATTGGTTCCCCCTTGTCCTTTGTCTCACCATTTTTATCTTGATTACTATCACCCCCTTTCAATTTCAAGTCATGGCTACTCAAGAGCCTCTGTTGCACTCTGAGTTTTGACTAATTATGATTTGCTTATTGTATGTTAATTACCCAGCTACTAAAAGGCCATGGAATTTGTCTTAACTTTCATAGCCCCATAGTTTGCTCAGTGTTTTTTGACTCGTTGGTAATGTGTAAATAAAAGAAATAAGAAAACTATGCATCGGTGGCTCACATCTTTAAATCTAGCTGTTCAGGAGGCTGCTATCAGAGATCATGGTTCACAGCCAGTTCAGGCAGGAAAGTTTGTGAGACTCATCTCCAATTAACCACCAAACAGTCGAGGTGGAACTGTAGCACAAGTGATAGAGTGTTAGCCTTAATTTTAAAAGTTCAGGAACAATATCCAAGCCCTGAGTTCAAATCCCAGAACCAGCACTAAAAAGAAAGACTAAAGATGTCATGATAGAGTAAACTTTCCTGTAGGATGATCCTTAGTTTTACGTAAATAATTTAAGCATTCTGGGTACACATCTAGGAAAAGATAAAGATACTGTGATGCAGTATGGTGCTAGTTCTCAGCTCATTGAAAGAATCAAAAAACAGGAAACACTAGGATGTTACTGAAACTGATGTGAATCAGTCAGAAACTCAGATCTTCTCTGTAATACAATAATAGAACTGAAAGCAGAAACTCTTTTTCATTTAGCCTAGAATAAGGGCCCAGTCATATATCATATGTAAACATAATTATATTATTTAAATTTATTAAACTATAGTGTATGAATCCTTCCATATATTAAAGCAAAGAAATATTCAGAATAGTTTTTGAATTTTTGTTATTCATATTTTATTTAGTATATACAAATTTTCTAAAGTATACAATGTCAGTTAATTGGTGAAGTTGAATTGAGGATTAGAGGAGCTTTACTTTTCTCCCTCCATTTTTAAATGTAGACTGCCAGAGATATGATTAGTTTTTGCATTTTTAAAAAGTATAATTATTAAATACCAGTTACTTTTAATTAGTTATATATATATGAAAACTGTCAAAGTATATATCCATAACAAACAAAAAACGATATATTAGATAAAATTCTTAGAAACTAGCAGTAGCAATGTAAACTAATGCAGCCACTATGGAAATCAGTATGGATCACCTTAAAAAACTAAAAGTAGATATATTCTGTAATCCATTGTACCATTCTTGGTCATACATACATCTGAAGTATTACAGATCAACATAACACAGAGATACCTACACACATATTTATTGAAGGTCTGTTCACAGTAACCAAACTAGGATTAACAGAGGTGCCTAAACACTGATGAATGGTAAAGAAAAGGTGGTACACATACATCATAGAATATTATTCAGCCATAGAGAAAAGTGAGCTCATACCATTTGAAGGAAATGGATGGAGCTGGACATCATCAAGTTGAGCGAGATAAACCAAACTCAAAGAGCGAAATATTACTCATTTGTGGAATCGAATCTAAACTATAGTCCTAAAAGAAAGTATGATTGTAACTGGCTAAAAGAAAGTATGATTGTAACTGGGTACTACTGTTAGGAGAGAAGAAAGGGAAAGAGAATGATAGAGGATGAATAATTCTAGAACACACCGTGTGTGTGTGTGTGTGTGTGTGTGTGTGTGTGTGTGTGTATCTCATTGAAAGCTGTTGTACAATAGGGAAATAAGGGAAACAAAGAAAAAGTGAAACTGAGGACAAAAGTTTGATTAAAGTATAACACATACATGTGTGAACTACCCTGGTGAAACGCCTTGCACAAAGTAAAACTAGTATAATTAGTTAAAAAATTAAAAAATCATAACTTAAAAATGACAGTGAAAAAGAGGCTCTGTTGCGTGGAGGGAAGCAGCGGGTGGGGGGGGGCCAATGAAGAATGTGGATGGAGCTAAATCTGGTCAAAGTAATTCAGATGCATGGATGCTAATAGAACAGTAAAATCTGTTTAAATTGTTTTAAGAATAGATTTTTGTAAGAAAAGTGATGAAGAAGGGATTTTGATTGGGGTGCTTCTTATACATGTGTGGAAATACCACAATAAATACACAATTAGTAGTTGACTGTAAATATCTTACTTTAAAAAAAAGAATTCTCTTGTGTAGTTAAAATACCAACAATTTTGTAGAAGAGTTATTTTCATTTCTTAAAAGAAAGATCAGAACCCATACAACCGTAGTTACTCCATAAAACAAATAAAATAAATACTAGATGACAAATTACATTTTAAAACATGAAAATTCATTTATTAGCCGGGATACTGTTAAAATTTGAAAGTTTTTGAAGATCCTATTTTTAAAGGATTTCCTTTGAAAGAATTGATTTTTCAAAAGACAAAGGATTTTTATTAATATATCAATATGTTAATCTATTAATTAAAATTGTCCATGAAACATAAAATCCCATTCCTACAATAACTATACATCTGTAAATTTTTGTATTTTAATTTTGAAAAAATGCCATTCGACTTCTTGCATAATTTGTCATCGCTGCATGAATCACCCCTTGTTAAAAACTTCTCTCAGAACTTTCCGGGAAATGAAGTGGGTAGGAAATTAATTTCTTATTTGGAAGAGTCTTAGAATTTTAATAAGCCTATTGTTTGAACCAAAAACCACAAAATTAGCATTTTGCTAATTGCTAGGCTTAAATAGCTGTGAACCAAAGACATCTGTCATCGCCTAGCTGATCACCTGGCTTGCTCCTTTCCAGTCTTGGGTTCAAGGTACTGTGTTCACATATGGAAAATTTGATAGGATTTGATGTCTCTTTCTTTCATTCTTTGTAAAAATGAACTTGTAACCTTCTCCATGTTTATAAAATATTGATTATTTCTGACAAGATGCTAGTAGCTTAACAATGTGTTTGCAGTTTTTTTATTATCTCAAATATTTAGGTAATTAGTCAATATGGTTTTTAAAAAATCATTGGATATTTTGTAGCTGAGATTTATACATTGAAAATGTTATACTTTAATTTTAATTTTGTTGATATAGGATATTTATATTATTTACTTCTGGGAAAAGCTGTCAGGCAAAATAAACTTAACTTTATAACTACCAAAGCAAAAACCATTTTGTCTATCTCAAATCTATTTTTATTCCATACCATTTCACTGATAAAATTAATTACATAGCATGTACATTAATGACAATTCTGGATGACTTCTTTCATGAAGATGACTAAATTTAGATATTTGTCAAGGTAAAATGCATATACAGTTTTGTAATTTACAATATACAATATACCTTCTTTACCAAAGCATTCAGGTTTTGGGTAAGACACAGCAGAATTACCATGTTAAATGCTGTGTAAATAAAAACGTGTAATTATGTGTTTTCCTTAATTTCTCTGAAGATTAGTTTCTCAGGACATGTAAATGTTAGGATCTCTAGGTTCCTGCAGTGCATCAGAACTCTAGCAATCAGGTATGATGTGATATGAAAATCATATCAACTGTACAATTCAGTCTCTTCATCATGTAGCAAAACACAAAATCATGACTATGCCTTTACAAACATTACTCAATGGAAGTTAGTAACTTTCTACATTGTGAACTAGCAGTATTTTTTAAGATTCAAAGAAAATGATGCACTGGGATTGTTTTTAAAGAGAAACACTCTCTGGTCAAAACAAATGCCAGTTCACTGTGGATTTTATGTTATTGCCCACATTAACAAATCCAGTCATCTAAGAGGAAAAGCTCTATACTAATTTCATTTAAATATTGATGCTGCTCCATTTTTCTAATGAAGCTAGAATCACCATTTTAAGGCTCTCATGATGGTTTTAGAATTTTACTAAATTAGAACGCTGGCAAACATTGCTATTTCTAAGAAATATAAGAACAAAGAGAATGCAAAAATGTTAACTTGAGTAACAAAATTTAAAACATTAAGTTTATATCACCTCTCCAATGAACACGCTTTTATCATAATGTTTCTCTGTTGAAAAAGTAAGGATTTAAAAAAATAAATCTTTTAATGTTAATAAGATGACTTTTCTCCCCGTCCCCAATTCCTCTGTTGTAGGCCTTTGCACCATGAAGCTTCTTATCCTGACCTGCCTCGTGGCCGTTGCTCTTGCCAGGCCTGTAAGTACCATAGAAATTTAGGAAAGTCCTATATTCTTGTTGAAAATGACCTGACACAAACATAATATAGAGTAATCTTTCCAGAGTACCATTTTATATCCACATTGGTTATTGCATATTCATGTCTTTACATTAGAAATGGGGCAACTATTCACATTTGGCACAACATTATGTAATCTGCCCAAACATCTAACTCTAAATACTATTTGAAATTTAATAATCTCACAATTTTAAAAAAATAAAAAGAGAGAAAAGAAATAAGGTATTGCCTAACACAATAACTGGTATTACATAGTGCGATCATGCTCTTTTCCCACATAACGGAGAATGAGTATGTATCTTAACATGTGGGAGGTATCCAATATTTCTTTCATGTGTGTCCTAATTTAGGGCCCAAAGCCAAACTCTCACTTGAGATGGTTTATGTCACCTTATGTTTTCTGATGGAATAGACAGAAGTACTCCAAATAAACCAATAAGCCATAGATTTATACAATCATCTAATTACACATAATTCCAATTATACTAAATTTGACTGTGTCCTTAAACAAATTGTAGGTGGAGAGACATTTTTATACAATCTAATTGGTGATTAAATTAAAACAGGCACTGGGCACCAGTGGCTCACGCCTATAATCCTAGCTACTCAGAAGACTGTGATCTGAGGCTCATGGTTCAAAGCCAGCCTAGGTAGGAAAGTCCATGAGACTTTTATGTCCAATTAATCACCAGAAATCTGGAAGTGGCACTGTGGCTCAAGTGGTAGAGTGCTAGTCTTGAGCTGAAGAACTGAGGACAGCGCCCAGGCAGAGTTCAAACCCCATAACTGAAAAAAAAAAATTAAAGCAGACAAAATTCAATTAAGTATACATTTTGCACCCAAAGTTTTATAATTGTCTAGTCACTTTAGGACCATCGTGTAATATAAACAATTGCAAAATGCAAACAAGTTCTTTATCATTTTGAATTAATCAAAGTTACTCATTTTTTCATTTTAAAGACTTTTTATGTATTTTTCTCAATTTTCTATTATATGTCTAAAACAAATAAGCTATTTTGCTTAGCTGTGATATTTGTCAGTAAAATAATTAATGATTTTTTTCCTTTCAGTACCCAGGGAAATTTGATCTTGACAAACTTTGCAATTATTATTAAATATCTTTCTTAAATAGCAGTGTGTGTGTGGTTAAATAATTACTGTCTTTTTGTTTGTTTTTGTTGGTTAGGGACTTGAATTCAGGGCTTGGGTGCTGTGCTTCTTTGCTCAAGGCTAGTGCTCTACCATTTTGAGCCTCAGCTCCACTTCCTGTTTTTGAGTGATTAAATGTAAGTCTCATCAGGGCTGGCTTAAACCACCATCCTCAGATCTCAGCCTCCTGAGTAGCTAGGGTTATGGGTGTGAGCCACCGCATCCAACCATATTTTTGTATTTTACTTATTTCTGCTTTATAATTCTTACACTTTTTTGCAGAAATTTCATTTTAGACATGCTGAAGCTCAAGTAAGTATTTTTTTCTCCTCTCCTGTATATGATTTTGTTTGGTTCGATTCTATTCTATACTATTTTGCATTTCATTCTAAGTGTGCTACTTAAATAGTGATATGCTGACATTTACAGATCAAAGCTAGTCCTTCCTTTCTCTAAGAAACAATTTGTCTCACTTTCACTGAACTATAGTTTCTTTGACATAAGCCTTGACAGTTTGAATTCTTTTTTATTTACATAAAATTTAAAAAGAGAACACCAATAAAAATAGTGTCCTTATTCAAGAAAAATAATCAAACATTTTTTGTCTTTACATTAACTCAAGCATCTGAGTTTTAACGTGGTCTTATTTGCCACACTGAATCTCAAATTAATAATCATTATCATACCATTCTACTAAAAGAAATTCATCCTCCACTCTGTACAGGAAATTTAATAATGTCATGCTTACATTATATTCTTTGCAGAATCAGGAAGACAGCAATGAGGTAAGCTGAATATACATATACTTGTCAAGTTTCTCTTTGTCTTCTAGCTTAGCCACATTAGCCACATGTCGAATGACTTTCTTTTTCTTTTTTAATGCCATTCCTGGGGCTTGGATTCAGAGCCTAGATACTGTTGCTGATCTTTTTTGTTCAAGGCTAGTGCTCTGACTTGAGCCACAGCTCTAATTTCGGATTTTTGGTAGCTAATTGGAGATTCATGTAGTTTCCTTCCTAGGCAGTCTTCAGACCATGATCATCAGTATTCATCCTCCTGAATGACTAAGATTTCAAGCATGAACCACTAGTGCTGACTTTGAATGACTTTGTTTTACAATTTTATTAATCAACTAATTAATTAATTTAGTGCCATACTGTGGCTTCAACTCTGAAAATCTAGCTCTCATTGAGTCTTTTGCTCATGACTGACACTATACTACTTGAGCTACTCTTACAGCCTACCAAATTTGGGGATAATTTGGGATGGAATCTTGTGGACCTTTTTGCTTGCTCTGGCTTTGAACCTTGATCCTCAGACCTCAGCCTCCCGAGTAGCTAGGATTAAAGGCATTAGCCACCAGCACCTGGCTTGAGTGATTTCTTCATTTCAATTATATTTACCTTCAAATGTATCCAAACATTTAGCTACTCAGATACTCTTTCAATTCTGTTTTGCTTTAATACCTATTCACAGTGTTGCCTTTGGACATTTTTAAAAATATAGATATAGGGCTGGGAAGGTGGCTCAGTGGTAGAGCGCTTGCCTTGCATCCTGAGGCCCTGGGTTCGATTCCTCAGCACCACATAAGGAAAAAGAAAAGAAGCCGGAAGTGGCTCTGTGGCTCAAGTGGTAGAGCGCTAGCCTTGAGCCGAAGAGCTGAGACAGTGCCCAGGCCCAGAGTTCAGGCTCCACGACCGGACCCAAAAAATAAATAAATAAATAAAAAATAAAAAATGTTTCACAAAAAAAATATAGATATAACAAATTTCAAGACCTAGTGAAGAAGGAACCAGTTAAGTTGTTTTCTTTAAATTTTAAAATTACAAGGCAAAACTAAAATCTATTATCTTATTCTTTTATGTGAAAAATCTGATATAGCAAATTTAACCGAACCCTATTGTTCCAAAAAAATAAAAATTCACTTGGTATGTTTTTTTCATATATTAAGGGGATATAATATGATAATTTTATACATGTATACTTTGTGTGGTAATCATGTCACTTTTATAATTCACAATTTCACTTCGCCAGGGAATCCTTAAAGAAATAAAAGTTCTCAGATACAATACTGTAAGTTTTACCTATTTGTTCCCAAAGCATAAGCATATTTTTCTGGGAAGACCAATTTAAAATTTTTATAAAAATATTTTTAACATAAATTAATCAAACTTTTCCTTCATTAAAAATCTGCTCTAAATTTTAATTTTGCTACTTCTCAAATACTTGAACTTACCTTTGCATACCCAATATAAACTTTGCAATCTCTATGCCCATCATGATTGGATAATTCAATCATAAATAATGCTCCATCTATGTTGAAGTCTTCTATAATTTTGTGACTGGTTTGATAAAAAAAACAAATTTTAATTCAAAGCCATTATTTGAAATATCTAACAAGTAACCCAACTTCATCTGAATAGATTTTAACATAACTTTTATTCCTTTCTTTTACAAAAATTTAGCATACACCCGTAGACATCAGACAGGTAAGAATGCCTCCACAAAACATGCTACATTTCAAGTAAGAAAGATGTATTTAAATCAAGCAACCTAAAAGCTTTGCATACAAACATTAAAAAATAAAAACAAAGTAAAAATTTGTTTTAACATAGTTCAAGTATACATTAATACATACCTTATACAAAGAAATAATAGCCAAAAATACTTAAGTTTCTCATATTAACTATTCATAGATAAGAAAATTATGAAATTTGGAGCAGCACCACCCAAGGGGTAATATCTTGCAGGATTTTACTCATTTTTCTCTCTTTTCACTTTTTCCATCTCATTCCCTATCCATAAGGAAATCATCAATGACCTGAATAGGGTAAGAAACATCAATGGAACTTTAAATATTTTAATAGTTTCTAATATTTAAAATACATTGTACAAGCTACTCTTTCTTAACTTTAGCAGAGAGAACTTCTGACAGAAAAACAGAACGATGAAATCAAGGTACCAAAGGATGCATTAAAAAAGTAGTGTGACAAAAATACATATATTTAAAATAGGGAAATGTTTTATTTGACTTTTTCTCCTTATGGGAGAATTTATCCTATTCTTGACATTCTTAAATCACATATTAAAAATAACTAATAAATTCTATTGAGAATTTAAATGTCTACTGATTTTATGGACATACCTATGTAGCTATGATGATGATGATATCTATATGATTGAATGATAATCAAATGCATGCATAAATCATACATAAGTAACATTAATGAGTAACTGCAGAAATAAATAAATAAATAAAGCATGATCCACCTAACCTATACTAAGTAAAAGTAACGAAATTCTTCATTGGAGATATTTTTATAAAGCAATATATGTACCTGAAGAATGTTTTGTATATTAACACTTTATAATTCTTCTTTTTTGGCCTGGATTGTATTTGATTGATTTAGTAGTGAAAGACTACATAGTGTTCAAATTTCATGAGATTAAAAAACATCTATCTTCTTAACTGTTTTTGATTCATGATGTCTTTTTGTTAGAATCAAGAAACTACAATGGAATCTATTGAGGTAAAGCACTTTAGTTTAACACTATTCAACTCAATATGAAAAGAAAATAAGTATTTCTTGTGAAAATGAATAAATAATTTCTCTTTGTAATTAGGTAACTAAATCAACAAATATTTGCAATGTATTTTTAATATATAAAATCACCACTCTTTGTGCTGATTGGTCATGAAAGTGAAGAAAAAAATCCATTTTGCTTGAGTTATTTTTATACCATTGAACCATACTTTCTTTGGGTGCATTTACATTTATCATGTGATTTTTTTAATGAAATGTTTCTGTAGAATGTCCAAAAACTAATTTATACTAGCTGAAAGGAAAAGTGCTAATATTCTAATAGGTATTTGTCACAATGGAAGTATTCAAATAATTTTCACTAAACTTAAAAATGTGAACTAGAAAGATAATTTCTTTAATCAGCTCAGACCGAAGTTGAAAATATTTTTTCTTATTTCTTAAATTTTTGCCTCAAATTTCTATTTTGTCATCTATTTCCTTTGGCAATTTTATTTTTACATCTTACTATTGCCATTAGAATATAAAGTCCCTCTCTTTTCTTTTCTTAAGGAACATGTTGCCGTGGACCCTACGGTAAGGTGTTTTTATTTTTAAAGATTTTTACACTTTTACACATCACACATAGTAGTTTGCTTCATTATTTGTTTGCATCACAAAAATCTATATTGTTGACATTCTATATTATGGCATTGATTAGTTTTAATAAGTGAAAATAATATTTTAATAAGTGAAAATAAAATAATGAATCTTTAAGTTTTCTTGGAAGTTAGTCAGTTTTCCTTTAGCATTTTTTCAGGTAAAATTGACACTCCATGACAATATATTACAGTTGCTCTTTATTTGTCACACAATTATGATGTTCTAGGAGTGAGCAATCTCTGTGATGACACTGAACTAAGTGTCCTTCAAAAATCTAAGCATCATAACACTTTCTTTCTCTTAGCAGAGAGCATGTAGCAGCAGCTCATCAAGTGAGGTAAATGATTTTAATATTAATTCAGAGTTTGAAACAGGGTAATCTGAGGGTTCCAGATTCCCATTGTTCTTGGCACTTTGTAGGTGATATTATCCTAATTTTAGTACATAATCATCAACAAAGTAAGAAAGCAGCTAGTTGTCAAAAGAAAACAAATTCACAGAACTATTACTGGACAGACAAGTCAACCTGAATACATGTGATATCCTAGTGTTTTGTGTCCTTTATTTGATTAATTTCTACTTATTGTCTTTCCCAGGTTCTAATATAACTATCACTAACAATCCCAACAATATATTGCCTTTGAAACCAATGATGTATACATTTTACATTCTGTGATTAGAAATCAGTTGACTATACATCTAGCAACCATTCATTCCATTCCCTAGCAAGCATAGATGATATAGAGATCCTTCACTCTGACTTTGGAAGAATGACTTCATCTAGGTTACAAAATTAAAAACTGAACCAAGAAAAGTATGTAGGGTCTAATAATTCAATAAAAATATTACTTTCCACCCACCTTCTGGCAAAAGCAGTTAGAAAAGGAAAACAACAGAATACATAACCCAAATTATTCATCTTAACTGACTGGGATTTTACATGTTATAGTTATTTATGAATAGTCCCTGGGTGATTAATAGTCTTACCCCAAAGTATTAAATGTTTGCATGTTTTTATCTTTATTAAGGAAGATGCTTCCATTAACACTGAGGTAAGCTATAGTCACTAAATTAAAATTAAAATTACTGCCATATTTTTGTACAATTAAATTTACTTGAATAATCTTTATTTTCTTTAGCAGAAGCACATTTCTACTGAAGAGATGTCCAGACAGCACTATCTGGTAAGACTTCATCAAAGTTTATCAAAAGCTGAGATATCAAAATATAAATAATAGTGTATTGAATTCTTCTTAGTATATGCTGGATTTTAATCGATAGTAGGAATTTTGAAGGACTTTAAAGTTTACTCATTCTTTTCTAAAAACAAATATAACAACTATTTTACTCAGAGTATATATTTCATGTTTTCAGTTGGCTATTTTATTTTATGGCTTCTGTTTGGCCACAATGAGCTTAGTAAAGCTTTTAGTAAAAATCTCTATTATTTACCACTGGAATATACATTAGGCTTATTTATTTATGGTAAGTATAAAAGGTAAAGTATAAAATAGATTGAAAATGAGTATATTTAACAAAATAATAGTAATCAATTAATAATAATATTTAATGATATAAATTCATTTATTACTCATAGCACATAACAAATTCCAGACAAAGGTTACATAGTATAAAATACATTATTTTTTTCATATTTTTTATTGTGAAAATACCATACAGAGGGGTTACAATTACATGAGCAAGGTAATGAGCACATTACATATCAAGCATTGTTGCCTCCTCCTTTGTTTCCCCTTCTTATCCCCCCCTCCACCCAGCACCAAAGTTGTAAAGTTCGTTTTCATCATAAATGTCTTGTGCATCTCATTGTTGCAATGGGTCCACCTGTATCCCTATTTAAACAAAATTGGTTTTTCCCTTCCCCTCCACAAATTATACCAACATCAAATACAGTGAAAACAGGGGTTAATGGATCAAGAAAGTGTGGTATATACACAATGGAGTTCTATGTCTCCATCAGGAAGAATGACATTGCCCCATTTGTTAGGAAATGGAAAGACTTGGAAAAAATGGTATTAAGTGAAGTAAACCAGGCCCAAAGAAACATAGGTCCCATGGTTTCCCTTATTTGCAATATCTAGTATATGTCTGAGTCAAGCAAAAACGGTCAGATAAGTTGATGTTAGGCGAAATGAACCCCAAGATAAGGATTCAAATGTTTTTTTTTCTTTCTTGCTATTGTGTCTAACATACTTATAAGATGATTTCTTTGTTGCTTTGTATGTCCCTCCCACACAGTAATACATTACTTTTTGAAAACTTTGTTCATTGAAAATTCTGATTTAATTTGGACAAACAAATTTTCAGTCAGAAAACAAGAAGCTTTTTATTTTATTTTTGACAAGACTTGTATTACAATACTCAGATTTATATCTACACTGTAGTTATTTTAAGTTAAAGTAAGTATAAAAGTAATATTTCTAATGTTTTAAAAAAGGAATCACTAAATTATTCCATTTTACTTATGGTGAAGACAGCAATTATGTGGTATTAGTAGTTGCTTATGTTTCACTTAGGGAGAGGATACTGTGGGATTCTTGTTTAATTATCTGAAAAGAGTGGGTTGAGCTGAATGATACCTGAGAAATTGAGAATATTTTTCTTTGATACAGGAACAGCTTTTTAGAGTGATCAAAAACAGACAACTCCAGGTGGTAATATTTTGTTTTTGTAATACAAATTCATATTCCACTGCAGAGCTACAATAAAGTTTTTTAAATGTTTTAATATTTTAAATATTAAATATATGTCTATTAATATTTAAATTTTAAGTTTTTTCTTAAGAAATTATTTTATCTAGCTTTAACCATTAATAATAATTATCTAATTTTACATCTATGTACTGGAAAGATTTGTTTGCATTTATAAGTGGACTAAAGTTGCATATCAGAGCTATAATTACTAGCCAATGAGAATTTAGTTAAATTACATTTACCTCAAATCTCCTAATGACCTCACTGAAGCATACATTGTACTTGAGAATATATCGTGGTGACAATATATCATTGATTTCCCCAAATTCATTAAAGATAATATATATGAGTATCCTAGCTACAAAAGCTACAGTGAGTCATTCACTTCTATAAGGCTACAAGTCATGCGGGTGCAATGATGGCTTCATGTAATTTTATAATTGTGTGGCCAGTACTTGGAGTGAATGTTGGTATCTAGTAAATATTGACTAGTTGCAAATGAATATAATCAACACAGTAAAAGAAGCATTTTTTCTTTCTTTAGCAATCTCTTCTTGCCCAGGTAAATTTATTTATTTAATCTAAGATATTTTAATATTTCTTTAACTTGTTATATTTTTATAATGCATGGTTTTTAAACGCAGAGCTCTCATCCAAGGATGGTAATACTTTATTTAAAATTTACATAAGCTGAAAAAGTCAAGAGTGGCACTGTAGCTCAAGTGGTAGAGCGCTAGTCTTGAGCTGAAGAGCTGAGGGACAACATCCAAGCCCAGAGTTCAGGCACCATGACCAACAACAACAAAACAAATAATAGTGTTAGAAAAGTGTTTTCATATTTTTCAATAATCCTAGCATAGAATAAAATTTATCCTAAATTCCTTGGGTGACTATATTATCATGATGAATTAGTAAATAAATGTATGTTAACAGATGCTTAAATATTCAAAATGTATTTTCTTTTATTCAGGAGCAAATTCGCAGAATGAATCAGCACAACCAAATGCAAATGGTAATATTTTGTCATATATCTTATGAAATAAAAATATATCATGAAGTT